GGTAAACAAGGTAGTAGGTAAACAAGGCAGTAGGTAAACAAGGTAGTAGGTAAACAAGGTAGTAGGTAAACAAGGTAGTAGGTAAACAAGGCAGTAGGCAAACAAGGTAGTAGGTAAACAAGGTAGTAGGTAAACAAGGCAGTAGGTAAACAAGGTAGTAGGTAAACAAGGTAGTAGGTAAACAAGGTAGTAGGCAAACAAGGTAGTAGGTAAACAAGGTAGTAGGTAAACAAGGTAGTAGGTAAACAAGGCAGTAGGTAACAAGGTAGTAGGTAAACAAGGTAGTAGGTAAACAAGGTAGTAGGTAAACAAGGTAGTAGGTAAACAAGGTAGTAGGTAACAAGGTAGTAGGTAAACAAGGTAGTAGGTAAAACAAGGTAGTAGGTAAACAAGGTAGTAGGTAAACAAGGTAGTAGGTAAACAAGGTAGTAGGTAAACAAGGTAGTAGGTAAAGCAGCAGTTAAACAAGGTAGTAGGTAAACAAGGTAGTAGGTAAACAAGGCAGTAGGTAAACAAGGTAGTAGGTAACAAGGTAGTAGGTAACAAGGTAGTAGGTAAACAAGGTAGTAGGTAAACAAGGTAGTAGGTAAACAAGGTAGTAGGTAAACAAGGTAGTAGGTAAACAAGGTAGTAGTAAACAAGGTAGTAGGTAAACAAGGTAGTAGGTAAACAAGGTAGTAGGTAAACAAGGTAGTAGGTAAACAAGGTAGTAGGTAAACAGGTAGTAGGTAAACAAGGTAGTAGGTAAACAAGGTAGTAGGTAAACAAGGTAGTAGGTAAAACAAGGTAGTAGGTAAACAAGGTAGTAGGTAACAAGGTAGTAGGTAAACAAGGTAGTAGGGTAAACAGGTAGTAGGTAAACAAGGTAGTGGGTAAACAAGGTAGTGGGTAAACAAGGTAGTGGGTAAACAAGGCAGTAGGTAAACAAGGTAGTAGGTAAACAAGGTAGTAGGTAAACAAGGTAGTAGGTAAACAAGTTAGTAGGTAAACAAGGTAGTAGGTAAACAAGGTAGTGGGTAAACAAGGTAGTGGGTAAACAAGTTAGTAGGTAAACAAGGTAGTAGGTAAACAAGGTAGTAAGTAGACAAGGTAGTAGGTAAACAAGTTAGTAGGTAAACAAGGTAGTAGGTAAACAAGTTAGTAGGTAAACAAGGTAGTAGGTAAACAAGTTAGTAGGTAAACAAGGTAGTAGGTAAACAAGTTAGTAGGTAAACAAGGTAGTAGGTAAACAAGGTAGTAGGTAAACAAGGTAGTGGGTAAACAAGGTGGTAGGTAAACAAGGTGGTAGGTAAACAAGGTAGTGGGTAAACAAGGTAGTGGGTAAACAAGGTAGTGGGTAAACAAGGTGGTAGGTAAACAAGGTAGTAGGTAAACAAGGTAGTGGGTAAACAAGGTAGTGGGTAAACAAGGTGGTAGGTAAACAAGGTGGTAGGTAAACAAGGTGGTAGGTAAACAAGGTAGTAGGTAAACAAGGTAGTGGGTAAACAAGGTGGTAGGTAAACAAGGTAGTAGGTAAACAAGGTAGTAGGTAAACAAGGTAGTAGGTAAACAAGGTAGTAGGTAAACAAGGCAGTGGGTAAACAAGGTAGTGGGGTAAACAAGTTAGTAGGTAAACAAGGTAGTGGGTAAACAAGTTAGTAGGTAAACAAGTTAGTAGGTAAACAAGTTAGTAGGTAAACAAGGTAGTAGGTAAACAAGGTAGTAGGTAAACAAGGTAGTGGGTAAACAAGTTAGTAGGTAAACAAGTTAGTAGGTAAACAAGGTAGTAGGTAAACAAGGTAGTAGGTAAACAAGGTAGTAGGTAAACAAGGTCGTGGGTAAACAAGGTAGTAGGTAAACAAGGCAGTAGGTAAACAAGGTAGTGGGTAAACAAGTTAGTAGGTAAACAAGGTAGTAGGTAAACAAGGTAGTGGGTAAACAAGTAGGTAAACAAGGTAGTAGGTAAACAAGGTAGTGGGTAAACAAGGTAGTGGGTAAACAAGGTAGTGGGTAAACAAGGTAGTAGGGTAAACAAGGTAGTGGGGTAAACAAGGTAGTGGGTAAACAAGGTAGTAGGTAAACAAGGTAGTGGGTAAACAAGGTAGTGGGTAAACAAGGTAGTGGGTAAACAAGGTAGTGGGTAAACAAGGTAGTAGGTAAACAAGGTAGTGGGTAAACAAGGTAGTGGGTAAACAAGGTAGTGGGTAAACAAGGTAGTGGGTAAACAAGGTAGTAGGTAAACAAGGTAGTGGGTAAACAAGGTAGTAGGTAAACAAGGTAGTAGGTAAACAAGGTAGTGGGTAAACAAGGCAGTAGGTAAACAAGGTAGTAGGTAAACAAGGTAGTGGGTAAACAAAGTAGGTAAACAAGGTAGTGGGTAAACAAGGCAGTAGGTAAACAAGGTAGTAGGTAAACAAGGTAGTGGGTAAACAAGGTAGTGGGTAAACAAGGTAGTGGGTAAACAAAGAGGTAAACAGTAGTGGGTAAACAAGGTAGTAGGTAAACAAGGTAGTAGGTAAACAAGGTAGTGGGTAAACAAGGTAGTAGGTAAACAAGGTAGTAGGTAAACAAGGTAGTGGGTAAACAAGGTAGTAGGTAAACAAGTTAGTAGGTAAACAAGGTAGTGGGTAAACAAGGTAGTAGGTAAACAAGGCAGTAGGTAAACAAGTTAGTAGGTAAACAAGGTAGTAGGTAAACAAGGCAGTAGGTAAACAAGGCAGTAGGTAAACAAGGTAGTTGGTAAACAAGGTAGTAGGTAAACAAGGTAGTAAGTAAGCAAGGTATTTACCGGGTAATACTTCGCGCTACCTTTACCCTACCCTTTACCTTACCGAAACCTTTACCCTTTTACCCGGTAAAAATGGTAAATGACCTCACCTTGCCGAGGCCTCCCTGGCAGATGGCCAGTCGCTCTATGCCGCCCTCTTGCGATTCGGAGCTGCGCGTGTGAATGGTTGGGTCGCTCATTGTGATTATCTGAGCCGGTCCTGGGCCTCCGCTAGGTCAACTCAGCCTCAAATGAGTACCTGGTGCGGTGTGTAAACATCGCCACCGGGGAGACAAAGGCGGTCAGGCGTGGTGCTGGCAACCCACCCCCTCGTGTACAGTTCTGGCCTTCATAGGCGCTCGCTAACAGCACTTGCCCCAACAGTCTGTTCAGGCTACACGGGGGATCTTTGTCTTTGATGATTATACAAATAACATGCTGCTGCCGATGCGTAGGCATTGGGTGCGCGGGCACGGTTCACAACAAAGGGGCCGTCCATAAATGACGTCACGCGATTTTGGACGATTTTTGACCCCCCCCCCCTCGTCACACGGCGTCACAAAAAGTCAGACCCCCCCTCAAATATGACGTCACAAAGCTCTGCCCCCCCCCCCCTCAAAATAAAACATGCTTCAAATCGCTTTAAACTATTGTTATTGTAGTGCGTATTAAATGTGGCGCTGCACTCTGATGTTGGAGGATAAAACATTTATTAAAAAGTCTATTTAATTAAGTAGAACGTGTTGTCTATATTTATTTAAAGTTGCGCATTTTGATGTGACGTCACATTTCTGAACCCCCCTCCCCCCATCGTCACACATCGTCACAAATGTCTGCCCCCCCCCCCCCCCCAGGTGCATGCCGTCATTTATGGACGGCCCCAAACTCAGATAGCTTTCGTCGTGAACACGCTGTGGCCGTAAAAAAACTATATAATAGGCGACGTTTCGGGCAACGGCCCTATTTTATAGCAAACGATTGTATTTTTTGTATCAATACCACGCCCATCACAACAACTACATTATCATCAGGATTGTGATAACATCATCATAAAAACCAGACACACTACCAACACACACACGATCTCACGAAGACAAGACAAAAATAGGCTTTGGCAGGCGGTTGTAGCCAAGCGCTGTTAGCGAATAGCAGCGCCTATGAAGGCCGGAACGACACACGAGGGGGGGCGGGTGGCCAACACCACGCCCGACCGCCTTTGTCTCCCCAGTGGGCCATGTTTATACACCGCACCAGGCACTCATTTTTGTTAGACTGAATCGACCTACGGGGAGGGCCAGGACCAGTTTCAAAAATAATCGTCGCTGGAATCGGGAATCAGAAATCGAACTCGCGGTGGGGGGAGGGGGGGTATCGGCAGCTCGGCACTTCGGAGGTGAATTGGATGCGAACATCCATTTCGCTTGTTAACCAAGGCAGTAATTATAATATATATTGGGGTGGGGGGGGACATCCCCCCCTCCACCCCAATATTCAAATATGCTCAAAATGCCCCCCCCCCCAATATATTGCTATAAAATAGATTTCTGTTGATACGATTGTGGTTATGGTTGTACTTTATGAATCCATAATCTCTACCATTATATACAATGAAACAAGAAAAGGTAAAAAAAAGAAAAAACAGAGCAATGTATTGCAATACACTATTAGACATTATTGTAAAAAATTTAATAAAAAATAAGATTTGGTCCCCCCCAATGTTGACTCCATGGCTACGGCCTTGTTGTTAACACGGCAACAGACACCATCGACAACAAGGACGACAACAACGACGACGGTCACCAAACAATCGGCAACTCCAACGACCGAAGAGACAACAACGATCACCACGTACAGCCCCGAGCAGACTGTTGGGGCAAGTGCGGTTCGCGTGCGGCACGCGAGGGGGTGGGTGGTCAGCACCACCATCACCATCACCCCCGGCCGCCTTTGTCTTCCTAGTGACGATGTTTACACGCCGCGCCAGGTATTCATTTGGGGCTGAGTCGACCTAGGGGGGGAGGGTCCCTGGACCAGTTTCTATAAATCTTCACTGCTGTTGGCGGTGAGCGGATATCGACCCCTAGTCGCCAGGTTCGGAGCGCAGCGCGCTAACCGCTGCGCCACCGCTCCTTTCTCCAAAATGCAAAGCGTGCAGACCCCCCTCCTCCCCTCACCACTCACCCCTCCCCTCACCACTCACTCCTCCTACCAAGCCCCCCCACCCCCTCCATCACCACCACCGCCGCCACCTTGAGCCAGCTCGCGGCTCAGCCCACAGCTTTCTCCCTTTGCTCAGCCAACCCTGAATTTCTCAACACTCGTTAATATCTTAAACCTCAACGTTTTACGCGCATTTCTAGTTGATTTTGTGTGGTGGACACGCGGGTTTCTTTTTTTGTATTAATCTCCAAAAGCGAATTAAACAGCATTACGATTTCTTCCGATGATAACGACAATAATTATTTAATTTCATATTTTTTTAAAAAAAATTAAAGAGCGAGAGAGAGAACAACCAAGCTTCAAAGGGGGGTGGTGGTTGCTCGCATTCATTGGGGGGGTCATTCTAGCGGCGGTGCCGCGCCGTGCGCAATGCGTCCCAAAGCATTAAATTCTCCGCCACGCTCGCACCGTGTGAGTGGAGGAGGCGAGAGGACGCGGGTGGACCTCACCATGGCACGCATGGCTGGCCCCCTCCTGGGAGGGACACTGCTGGGCCTCTCCGCCTCGCTCTCCGCAGCCCTCAACCTTGCCCTGCTCTTCCAACTGCAAGGGGCATTTCGGCAGCAGAGGTGCGACGACCAGCATCAGCACGCGACTGAGAAACAGCAGCAGCAGCAACAGCATCAGCAGCAGCCGTCGCATCATCATCAACAGCAGCAGCAGCACCCACCTCAAACGCCCCAACAACAGCAGTTCCAAGACCTGCTGCACCATCACGAGCAGCTGCAGCAGCAGCATCAATACACGGAGCAGCAGTTGCAGTACCCGGCGTTCCAACCGCAGCAGCAGTTGCAGCAGCAGCAGCAGCCGCAGCAGCAGACGGATGAGAGTGGTAATGCTGCAGGTGCTGCTGCTGCTATCATGAGAACGTCGGCCATGTGTCTTGCCGCCGTGGCGTTGAGTCTGAACCTGTGCTGTGCGTCCATCTGTGTCATACACGCCCTGCTGGCTTCGAGAATGGTGCACGCTCACAGGTGAGTCAGTCTAAGTGGCTCCTCGAATATCGTTCTCGTTCTGGTCGTCGTTGTCGTGATTATTTGACCGAGGAAGGTGACGCAAACACAAACACCCCCCCCCCCCCACGCACACGTACGAAATGCTGTAACGCCGCGTTCCATATGCTTGGGGAGTATTTAATTTAGACATCCGTGCATGCGTGATGACAATACGAATAGCGGCAGCGCCGCTGCTAGGCGCACAGGAAAGCATGGTGCCCAGAGGGCAAGACGGTTTAATGTGGATCGGTAGCGGCTCGGTAGGAGATGGGTGTAGGGGGTGGGAGGTTACGGGGATGTCTTTGGGTCAATTTGGCCGATTTTCTATCGGGCGAGTCCCCAGTAGCAATGCAACTTTATTGGAAAGTTTCGTTCACAATGCGCCGTGTTTATGAGAGCTTTCGTGACCAACTCCCCCCCATCCCCCAGTTACAGACTGCTGGTGCAGTCACGCTTACCATGTAGAGGTGGCCCTTGTACTGTACTTCTATGCCCCCGTCTCCCGTGACTTAACCAACAACGGCCATTTGCCACCAAGCGGTGGTGATGTCACCACTGCGCTTGTGCCAGGCTAGGTGCACCTCGAGGTCACGTGACGTGTCGAAGGCTCGCCGGCAAGGAGGTCACGGCGAGCATTCGACACTTCACGTGGCCGCCACTGCATGACCAATCGTGTTGAGGTATGGTCAAATATAACCACCAAGGGTAGCGAGGTGATGGTCCAGTAAACCAGTGGCTGCATGAAAATAAACCACCCATCACATTAAATCATATTCGTTTTTACTTCATTTCGCTAAATCCAGATCTGGGGAGTAAAAAAATTGAGGTTGATTGTCATGCGACGGGAATTTCTCTGTGCTTGGGTGTGGGAAGGTGCAGCAGCGCCACTAGTGTGGACTAGAGTTCACGTGAGTAGATTTCAGAAGTAGCTTTGAATGGAACCCGCGATCCACTGGACAGCAGGCGCGACCTGCTGACCTTGCCGCCACGGCAGCATCCTGGCAGCTTGAAGTCAGAAGCGCCAGCATTCACATTGACCGAGCGGGCAATTCAGGAGACCTTTAATACATCACCAGCAGTGTTCTATCCACTGCTGGATGAAGCCCCCCCCCCCTCCCTAAGCTGCCGCTGTCGCTGACTGTTGGTCTCGACCACAGGCAGTCACTCCTTCTGGCGGCGTGTTTTGCCAAAGCCTGCCAGTAAAAAACATGATAATTGGTTTTTGAGCAATTATTGGTTTTTACCAATTATCATATTTTTACTGGCAAATGAGGTTCCAATGGTGTAAATGCTTACCCCGAGCTCTCATACTCTGATTGTGCATTGTCTTTGAGTTGTGCGCCTTTTGGCGTCATCTGGTCCAACCCATGTGAGACTAGGCTCTAAGGAAAGCTGTCTCTGGTGTGGACCAATCAACTTCAAGGACAGTGCAGACATTATCAGAGTTATGTTTTTTGTTTGCATTATGACTGCAGGTATTGTGGTCTATGCAAACATGACTCCTTGTAAAAAAAAAGGTGTCAGTTTTGTTGCCAGATAGAAGGGTAAAAAAACAATTATCATATTTTTTTACTGGCAAATGAGGTTCCAATGGAGCCAATACGATGTTTCAGCGTTTCTTCTCTGACCAATGCGCTCCGATTTACGTCTTTCAGTGTCATTCCAACCGTGTGGGCGCCACACAGGCGAGATGTTAACAACCTCGCCTGGTATACCGGAGATCGTGGGTTCGATTCAGAGCTTGACCCCTGCTGCTGTTTGTTATATTTGGAGTTTGCGACGTTTCTTTCCCCGTGGTCGAGTGGATTCTTCTTCGAGTCCTCCCGCTTTCCCCCCCCCCTCCACATTTAGAATCGACATCACGCGTTGGCAGAGTAGTTGGCTGCTATAAATGCCCACGTCACTAAGTCACTTCGTTGACCTATCATTTGTGGCCAGATCGCTTCTGAAAAAAAAAAGCTATACATGGTTTAGTGTGTCTCTCCACGCTTCTTGCACCATTTTTTAAGAATCTATTGTCCAATGCACTTTGCTCTGCGTCCATGTTGCCGATCCATTTGTCGTCGCAGGTAATACGCGCTGACTGAAAACTTTCCTTGCATTTTTCTCTCTTTGGGCACAGTTTCATAAAATGGAGCGGATGAAATATCGTTCCATGTGTGGGGCGCATCAGAGTCAAAAGCTCCGATGAGCGGTTGTTGGCTCCGTACACATTGGGAAGCCACCGGAGCTATGTCTTTTTAAATCGTTTAGAATGAAAAATATTTTCTTTCGAACTGCTCTCTGTATTTAGTGTGTTGTCCTTCCCCCCGCACCTCCGATTGGCTACTACGTACGGTGCGAAAGAAGTTTAACATACACGCATACAAAACTAAATTAACCTGCATGGCTGTGCCAAAGACGTCACGGCACCGACTTAGCGACCTGGACGAGGAAGCTCTTTCAGGCGAGAGCTGAGCTATTCATCTTCTTGGTTCTTTCGGTAAAGTCACGTAGAAGGGAAATAATAAAATAAAGCATAATTATTTAATTATGTTTTATTTTTATTATTTTATTATTTCTCTTCTACGTGACTTTACCGAAAGAACCAAGAAGATGAATCCCTGCAGTCACGAAAGCTTTACATCGAAGCTGAGCTGTTGTTAACCTATGCTGAACTTCTTTCGCACCGTACGTAGCCAACCGTGCCAATCGGAGGCGCGGGATAAGAGCTCGCTGTGCTGAGTGTAATCTCCAGCTAATCGTTGCACTAAATTGTACAAAAGAAAAAAAAATGCTCGCCTTTTCAGCATTCTTCCGGCTTTGCTGACAAACCAAATCAATAATGCATGGTTGCCCACGCGGCAAACTTCATTTGATTTTGCTACGTCGTGTGGTGGAGGGGCTATCGTTAAACAATCGACACTGCAGCTGCACGATCTAATCCAACCGAATCATGTTGCATTAAACACAAAAATACTCTTCAACACAAGAGCGGCTTTTTTGTGTGAATGGGGGGCAGGATTGCATTGGCATGAATGTAAATGTTGTGGATTTGCTCTCCGACACATCCGGTGGTGCTACTAGTAACGAATTGGCATGTTCTGTTTACGTGACAAACCTTACTAAGTGGCTGTGTCGGGTGGGTTTAGTGACACATTCATATTTACGCGATCTGACCCAAAACACCTCTGTTATGAAGTGAGTTTGCTTGCTTGTGAGGTTAGCAAACAAGAAAATCCCACTCGGTGTCAATGTGCGTCATTCTCCAGTTTGTCCGACACACATTTCTCCACGTATTTTGCAGCAAAGTTATTGTTTTGCAGCAAAGTTGTTGGTGCACCTTTTCATCCAAAGTGCATTGCCTTCCAGAAGATGTTTTTTTAAAAAAAAAAATCGGCTATCCAGAATCGTCACCCGGAAGATGGTCAAACCAAAGTGATATGGAACCACCACCACCACCAGCCGTTCAAAAGAATCTTCCACGAGACATCTCTTGCCAATTTTCAAGCAGCAACTTCTTCATCATCTTCTGGATGATGGCTCTCCATCGTTACCGTATTCTCCCGATTTATCACGCACATTCTTTTTGCTTTGTTCAAAATTACCCCAAGATTCGGCATGCGTCTTCCTTTCCACTTCACTACATAATCCAGGGAATGCGGTCAAGTAATTCGAATCTCGGTTTAACACGTAGGCTTTCGCGACCAAATCATCCATAATATAGGTGTGTGTTTGGGTTAGATCACGTAAATATAAATGTGTCGTTAAACCTGCCACCACCCAACACAGCCAATATGTAAGGGTTGTCACGTAAACCCTTACTATATTAATTTGAATCTCCTTTAACACTAGGACCCTGATCCAACAGACAGGGCCTTTGCCTTGACAGTACCGTGCTATTAATGTGTGTGTGTATATATGTTGGACTTCTTTCGCACCGTCTCTAGCCAAAGGCTTGACTCGGTTTGATGTCCATTTCCTGCGGTGGCAGTGAAAGGGCCCGTAATGGGAAGATGGAGCCTGCCGCAGCTTGTGCTCCACGCGTGGCAATTGGCACCCCCGCATGGCGCATCCGCGATATTTTTCGGAGCCTGCCCTTGCGTTCTACGGTCGTGGTGACGATGGTGATTTTTTTGCTTCTTGAGCCGCCCTCGCTCACGCCGGGACATATCCGGACGCTCGAAACGCGACTAGCGAACTTGCACCGTGTCCCACCTCGACGGAATTCGAAACGGGCCCCCCCAGCGGCAGCTGTCCCTGTGCGGCACGAGGCGGCTCGGGCACCTGGTCTAGAAGGGAGCATTGGTCTGCCAGCACATCATCACCCCCATGGTCGTCTCTATAACTTACAAGAACCGCCATCGCCACCGTCATCTTCATCATCATCGTTACTAATGTTGACGCGTCCAAAATTAAGTTACGCCACTACCACCACGACCTCCATGTTCGTCATGATTGTTCCACAGCCACAATAATAATATACACACCACTCCCTCACGGTTTCTTGCAACATCCATCATCTTTATCTCCAGATTCATTATCTACAGCACGTTTCTAAGTTATTGAAGTTTCTTTCCAATTTTAAAAGCCATTGTGTCTCCCCACTAAAATAAACATGAGGCAATACATTAGTGGTCCTGAGCCGGTGTTGGAAATTCCACATTCCCATGGCTAAGGCCAGTTTCGTTATAGGACCACCACTTTCGACTCACTGCAAAGTTGACCTCGTATTAGATGACCCCGGGTGGACGATGAGTGGCGCACCTGCCGCGAGGATTGGCATGACGAGTGTTCGCCACGCGTAAGTCAATCCCAACATTTTCCTTTTTCATTCTCAGAAGCTGGAAATTTGCCATATTTAAGTAAAAAAAACACAAAGTTTACGTCATGTTTCTCTTTTCTAATGTGCGCAGTCATTGATGACCATTGCCTCGCTACCCTTGAGAACCCCGTTTACTCACGGGCGACTCTGCTGTTGTCCCCTCGTCCACCCTGCC